AGCCCATTGCCAGCAATGGCAAAAAAGTCGCGACACGTCACGTGACATTGCGAGTTTGACACCCCTGGTCTAAATGAACAAAGCAGGGAAAATCAGCATGAGAGATGTGTGAAACTTTATTCTTTTTGAATGCACTTCCATTGCTTGATATGACCCCAACTGATATTTACTAGAATTAGAAAAAAGAAGCAGGTTGGTTAAGGAAATATTTGAATTCCCAACTTAATTAGGATAAGGTTACATTTTCTTGCATACTATGAATTCTCAATATGGTTGGTCAGCCAATCATGTCTGCCAGTCATTCTGCCCTACGTTTAATTTATAATATTATTTCAATGTAAAAAATGCATTAAGAATTTTACCTATTTTAAAAACATATTTATCTGCATAAATAAACCCTAAGAGGTTGTACGAATGGAGTGTATTTCTGGATTTATTTACAGTGTAGATTATAGTCATTTATATATTCTTGTGGGTAAGTCACTTTCAGAGACTTCGGAGCCGGCTGGGATAAAATGTCAAATATTTTATTCTAATGTAACTTTTAAGTTATTATGCATATAAAATAGTAGGAAAGGGAATTAGAAAAAAGGCGTGGATAAAATCAGTGAATGAAATATATTGCAACAGTTCCTTAATATACATTTGTGGACCAAATTACATTAAAAAGAAGGTCTTTTCCAGAGGTAAAGAAATGCATATAATGGATTTATGGATTGTGCTTCAATAAGTGAACACTTACTTATAAAGTGATGAATAATGATCACAAGCAACCATTCAAATCAAAAGTTTATTTTTAGTTTCACAAGAAGTTATAGCAAAACAGGAAACTGCTTGATTAGTGTATTCTATTCCCTAGCAAATGGATCAGTATATCACTTCTGATGATGGCGTCTGCCCAGAAAATGTTATGGAAATGGAAGAGGAAAGAATTGCTATAAGCCAGAAAATAGAGTTACAGAGGGACATGGTGTATAAATCATTATAGCTGCTACTCCTGAGTAAAGAAAAATTAAAAAAAAAATACTTGCTATTAAAGTAGCACAGGATTTGACTGATTTGTGAGGCATAGCTGCATAAAGCTGGAGAGATTGGGAGTTACATCACCTTCCTGATTTCCAAAGCTCCTCCATAAAATAAGAAACTTTATTGAAAGGGAAGAGCTGATTTTTCCAATCCAGTATTGTGGACTTTTTAGGACAAGAATGGCAACAACAAGACCCTGGAAGGCAAACTGCATCCATTTTACTCTTCCATACAGTCTAAATACTATCTGAGAGTAAAAGGAGAGGAAGAAAACTATTTGCTTCTCAAGTTCTATTCCCAGTTCTATCTTTAAAACATACCAAAATGGAGTACGTAGTGGCAGATGGGGCATTTTCCAGATAGAAATGAAAAGAAAAAAACCTCTCAGAACTGTCCCTTCTGTTTCTATCTTTGTTTAAAACACACCGATGCCCACACACTAACAATAATCACAGTATATCACTAAAATTTAGCCGTTTAGTATCTTGGGCTGCTGAAAGATGGAAGTGGAGTCCATGGAACGACAGTTCTTTAAAAAGACAAGGATAAGGAATCTCCCTGGATTTTGGAACCTTGATGAACATCTAACAAGAGGTAGTCTTTGCTTACTGCCCACCAACTGTTCAGCAACCATTCAAAGTTGTAACAGTGCTAAACAATGGGACTTGGGACTGCCATTATTCCTGCATAATTCTTCCACATCTTGGTTTTAGCAACCAGAACTGTTGTTGCTAAACGTTGTGCTCACATGATGCACTTTATGACTGTAACTGGCTGACCAACTGCACTCAACACGTAGTCCTCAATGGAACTGCATCTACATGGAGGGAAATATTAGGCCCAGTACTCTTTAACATCTTCATCAATGATTTGGATGAGGGGATAGATGGGGAAATCATCAAATTTGCAGACGACACCAAGCTGGCATCAATAGCCAACACTCCAGAAGATAGGCTTAACAGACAGAAGGATCGGGACAGATTGGGCGCTACCTAACAAAATGAAATTCAATGGTGAAAAAGTACATTTAGGCAAGAAAAACCAAATGCATAGGTATAGTATAGGTGTTATCTGGCTCAATAGTAGTAACTGAGAGGGATCTCAGAGTCCTAGTGGACAATCACTTAAATATGAGCCAGCAATGTGCTGCAGCTGCCAAAAAAGCCAACACAGTGCTAGGTTGCATTAACAGAGGGATAGAATCAGGATCAGGTGAAGTGTTAATACCACTTTATAATGCCTTGGTAAGACCACACTTGAAATACTGCATCTGGTTTTGGTCGCCCCAATGTAAAAAAGATGTTGAAACTCTAGAAAGAATGCAGAGAAGAGCAACAAAGATGATTAGGGGACTGGAGGCTAAAATATATAAAGAACCGTTGCTGGAATTGGGTATGTCTATTTTAATGAAGAGAAAGACTAGGGGTCTTTCCGATAGCAGTGTTCCAATATCTTAGGGGTTGCCACAAAGAAGAGGGAATCAAGCTATTCTCCAAAACACTTGAAGGCAGGGCAAGAAGCAACGGGTGGAAACTAATCAAGGAGACAAGCAACCTAGAACTAAGAAGGAATTTCCTGACTATTAGAACAATTAATCAGTGGAACAACCTGCCTCAGAAGTTGTGAATGCTCCAATATTGGAACTTTTAAAGAAGAGATTGGACAGCCATTTGTCTGAAATGGTGTAAGGTTTCCTGCCTGAGCAGGCGATTGGACTAGAAGACCTCTAAGGTCCCCTCCAATCCCTGTTATTCTGTTATGATATGTTATGTTATTCTGTTATGTTACTGCATCCAGTTTTGGTCACCGCAATGTAAAAAAGATGTTGAGACTCTAGAAAGAGTAGAGAAGAGCAACAAAGATGATTAGGGGACTGGAGGCTAAAGCATATAAGGAACGGCTGCTGGAATTGGGTATGTCTAGTTTAATGAAGAGAAGGACGAGGGGGGACACGATAGCAGTGTTCCAATATCTCAGGGGCTGCCACAAAGAAGAGGGAGTCAAGGTATTCTCCAAAGCGCCTGAAGGCAGGACAAGAAGCAACGGGTGGAAACTAATCAAGGAGAGAAGCAACCTACAACTAAGGAGAAACTTCCTGACAGTTAGAACAATTAACCAGTGGAACAACCTGCCTCCAGAAGCGGTGAATGTGCCAACACTGGAAGTTTTTAAGAAGAGACTGGACAGCCATTTGTCCAAAATGGTATAGGGTTTCCTGCCTGAGCAGGGGGTTGGACTAGATGACCTCCAAGATCCCTTCCAACTTTACTACTACTACTACTACTACTACTATTATTATTATTATTACTATAATATCACTTAGCAATGACAAATACAGTCCCAACTGCAATTGTAACATGAGGATTACTTGTATGGCTTTTCATGCATAATATTTCAGGATTCTTACAATCATAGTATTTAGCTTGTATCAATTAAAAACCCTTATGCAACACTTAACTGCTAAAGCACAGTTGTATAGCCCAAAACATTAGTTGCTTGTATACAATTTAAAAATATGAAGTAACATTCACCTAAAGCCAATTTATTCCCCAAGAACTTTAGAAGTCAAACACCTCATCTCATTAATGGCATGCATTACGGAGAAGAATGAATGAGATGGCATTAGACTCTGCAGCTCAATCGATACTGCACAGATTTATGCTTGATGGATTATGCAAACAGACAGCACAAGATGTGACACAAAAATACTTAGAAATGTAGTTCCTGTATCCTAAAACATTCTACATTATTTCTGGCAACAATTACTTCATAGTTTATCCAGTCAATATAACAAATTTTCGTCACTGATTGTTCCAGAAAATTGTTGAACCAATACAATGTGCAGGATTCTCATCACTTATAAACATGATTAAATATAACAGTATATACCACTGTAAGATAATTTAAATGCTACATTAGGCAATATATGTGTACACATATATGTACATTTGTTACTTTTAATATTTATTTACTCATTCTAGTTTTGTGAAGAATAATTAAAATCTATGCTTTTACCAGCTTGCTACTTTTCCAATTTCTGGAGGTGGGTATTATTTACAAATGCATGTTGATACATAATCTATTACAGGTAATCCTCAGTTAACTACGATCATTGGGATCAGAATTTGTTGCTAGCAACACAATTTTGAAGCACAGTGTCACATGACAATGCTGCTTAGTGATATTGTTATGGCACTTTTGGATGCTATCATTAAGCAAATCCTGCAATGTCATTAAACATGACATCACATGGCTGCCATTTGCGACCTGTTGCCAGCTTCTCCATTGACTTTGCTTCTCAAAAGCTGGCAGTGAAGGTCCCACATGGCAATCTCGTGACCTTGGGGATGCTTCTGGAACTTTGTTGACCAGTCCTAAGAATGACTTGTTCAGCACCATCATAACTTAAAAGGGCTGCTGAATCAGTGTTATTGAGGTCCACCTGTATACATATTTTAACTAAGACTATATTTGCAATAAAGAATTATTGACCATGAAAATGTCATGCATAAGGCTGAGTCATTATTCTATCTGCTGTTTGAATGTAAAAAGTGTGCACATTCATTTAAGACATTCCATTTTAAGCTAAACATTACAAATATATGCTGTGTACCTCTTTTAAAAGGTATTGTTAGAGTATTCATAATTTCTACTGTTACTTGTTTTCAAATTTATTATTGCAGACATCAAGTTATTTCAATGAAAAAAGATATTTTGATGAAATATTTGCTACAAATTTCTATTCTATCATTGTACAAGTTAATGCGCACCAGTATCCTCATCTCATTTCTATTCTTTCTAGTATTTAAATAACTTATAAATTAGCTTTATAGTACAATAAACATTAATTTCCTGTTCTTAAGAGCATTCATGCTGAAATTCCAATTTAAAACAGTGGCTTGCATGCAATTTCCACTACTAAATAAAATTATTTTTATCCAATTTGAAAAGTGGAAACATGAGAAGTTACTTACCTATAGATTATACACGCACTGTTCCTACACGTGTCACAATTGGATGTGTCTTGACCAGTCCGATATGAAAGCCTAAGAAAATACATTATATTATTAAAAGAATTGTTTCTTCATTGTTTTAAGTGGATGGAGGGATGGAACCCAATTTTAACTTATTATTCTATTGGTTGTCAGTTTTGTACCTGCATTTAGGCACATAAGAATACTTACACATTTTGATAGTTAGGAAACACAGTTTGTTAATATATTGACAACTGAAATCAAGCATGATTTACATATTGTGGATTGTACATGCCTGTCACAATGTTTTTATTAGATTTTGTCTATTCAAATTATACATATTGTCCAAAGAGAATGCAATGACATGATTGCTAAATTTTAGAAGTCCTTCAATAAACAAACTTTATTGTCAGGGAAGGCAAACAGATTGCTCTTGTAACTTGCATTCACAGCCTTTGTGCTTCCAGCATTTTAAAAAAAAATTATTACACATAGGACCTAAATGTGTAAGTGCAGCTTAACTTAAGGCAATATATTGGTCATTTTGAAATGAACAGTAATTGTCTAATACAGAGCTCTGATATAGGTTAAAGTTTGGTAAAAATGTAGGTCAAAAACATATTTATTTATTGAGAAAAATGATTCAAAGCTACATATTTGTGTGTGGCAAAAGTATATGATCATCAGTTCAGTTGAATGCAAAATTAGAGTCAAATATTTCAATTAATGAGATGTTTCATTTTTGTCATTTGTTTAATTAGGCTCTTTTTATCTAGTTTGAGATATTTATGCAGAAATTCTGAAAATTCAAAAGGTTCACAACTTTAAAACATTACTGTAGGATGTAATACATCTATAATTAATTCATTGCCCAGATATAACTGTCTTATAAATGTTCTCTGTGCCTAATTTCTATCTTAATTTATTGCAATATGAATAGAGAAATCATTTTTAACATTATTTCAGCAATGAAAAAAATCATACAGCAGGAGATTCTAATAATCTGAAATTAAATACTTGTGTTGCGCTTTAATTACAAGTATTAATTCATGTTTGTTGTTTAGAATACAATGCTTAGCAACATCTATTTTCTCAATACTTTTACAATCTACGAATATCTTTTTCCACTTTATGCTTGCATTGAAAATTGTATGAAAATGCAACCATATACAAACTATTAGGTGAAACCAAGAACCTTCTGCGAGTAACCAATCAGGATGGCCAGTGAACTGTCCCAAATCCCTTACCATAGCTGTTACTTCATTGCCCCAAAAGCAAAGAACAATATTGGCTTTTTGGTTGTTGTGTGAGGGTTTCTCTATAGGAATCATTAGAGTAATGAATTGTGACATGAGAACAGATGAAACCTTCAGTGATGTCTATGAGGTGGTGGCCAGCTAGATACAGACTAGTGGTGCTGCTGCTCCTAGGGAAAAGTGGGCATATAGGAGAATACTTAGTAGAATAGAACAGTAGGCATAGCAACAGATCCTTATTTAATGTCAACTTTCTTGGGTTGTCCTTGTATCTATACTTTCCAGTTATGATACTGAAGCTGTTCTAGTTGAAACAAAACAATATACTTGGAGGGTATAAATTATAGGGATGAGCCACTGGATGTCCAAGATAGAAAATGAAATTTGGGTCTTATTTATGGCAGATTGGATGTCATAAATGTCATCCATCTCAAAAATGTGTCTCTTCCCCTTTCCCTCTATAAAACCTTGTCACCCAGTATCAGTATGTCACATTCATTTCAAATGAATATTATATTGTTCATTTCCATAACTACCCATGTTTCCCTGAAAATAAGACCCATTCTTTTTTTTTTCTTTTTTTTTGCCTCCAAAAGAGGCACCAGATCTTATTTTCAGGAGATGCCCTTTCCACTCATCTTGCCATGGTGGCACCAACAGCTCTGCCCAGCTGGCCCACTTCTTCCATGGCCAAAGAAAATGTCTCTGCAACTGAGAATGAAGCTCTGGCCTGCATTTCGCCATCAGAAGTCTTTCCGGAAGGCCTCTGACAGTGAAATGCAGGCCAGGGGGACACCACAGAAGTGGGCCGATGAGGAAAGGCAGGTGTTGATTCATGGGAGGCCTGGCTGTAACAGTAAGTGGTGCAGGGTGCATGGGGCAGCTCCACCCTTCACCCCCGCTTGATTTTTAGGCGTGCGCCTTGCCCCAAAATTAGGGCTTATTTTGGGGGTAGGGCTTATCTTATGTCCACCCCCAAAAAAATCAAGCTAGGGCTTATTTTCAGGGTAGGTTTTACTTTTGGGGAAACACAGTACAAAGCTTTCAGCTACACTAATTTCTATTAGCTGCACAAACATTTGGGTGAAAGAACAGCACTAGTTCTAGTTATGGCAAGACACACAAAATATCATTTGAAGGCTAGAAATATGATGACCAGTGTTATTGCTAATACCAAGGATGTATTCTTCCACCACAGGACTCCCAGAATTGGGTTCAGATTTAGGGATGCTTTAAGTATTATTGGTATCTGTAAACTGGTATTGGGTTCTCAACAGTATTGGGGTCCTTCCCCAATGGCTGGCTGCAATTTTTTACATCCCTGCTTTCATTATATCATGACATCATTTTTCAGACCAAGAGGAATGTATACATGTAAACAAAATATAACACCCCCTCCCCAAAAAACCCTCCCACCCTTGTTAAATCAATCAGGCTATAATCTTTAATTTCAGCCTTACTTCAGAGTAAGAAAAGGCAAAATACTTATGTACATATTATGTGGCCTTGAAATATGAGAAACTCTGAAACAAAGAAGCTATGCTTAACATTCTTGGCAGTCATAATAATTTCATGGATATTTATATATTGTCTTGCTTTGACTTTTATTTATGAGTAAGTTAGAGGCTGCATCATTTTAAATCCAGTTAAGAATCCAAAGAAGTTTAAATGTGGTATCAGGTAGAAAAGTGACCTTTAAATTTGCTTTTCTAAAACTTCCCAATTTATGTAGCCATAAATTATCCTTTTATTTTGGTAGAGCTGTCAGATATACAACTACATGGAAAATGAAATAGTTCCTTGCCTCTAAAGCTCTCAATTTTTATTCAGAGTAAAACTGGAGAATACACTACACTCAATTGCTGTATTTCTTTTCTTAAATTAACCTTTTATTTCTTTTCAAGAAAATTTCTTTTCTTGTGAAAGTAGATAAGATTTAAATACGGTGTTTGCTGTTGAATAGAAAATTAGAAAACTGACTTTACAACTTGGATCACTTGCCTTTCTGGCTCACAATACACAGTAACAGTGGTTGTCCTGAGTTCAGATACATTCAGTTTATCTTATTATGGTCACAGACGGGGCGTTGTCTTACCTGAACGCCTTTTCTCAGTACGGAGATGGAGAATTCACACATGGGTTTTCATTGGATGCCTGCTCTTGTGACTAAGTAGTCAAACTTGACACGCCCCCTCTTGCTGGCCCAGTCTTTAACGAGGGCGAAGTGACTCAAGATGGACGAGGTGTTGGCTCTCAGACCCCTACAATGGCCTGTCTGACCTCAAGGGGTGGGTGTGAATTCTCCATCTCCGTACTGAGAAAAGGCGTTCAGGTAAGACAACGCCCCTTCTCCAGTATGGGAGATGGAGAATTCACACATGGGACATACCAAAGCTCCACAGTCCCAATGGGTGGGAAACAGATAAGTCCTAATTAGAGTCTCCAGCAACCACCTGCTGAAGAACCCTTCTTCCAAAGGAAGCATCTGCCGCAGCAAAACGGTCAATTTTGTAATGACGTACAAACGGGGAAGGCGATGACCAAGTCGCAGCCCTACAAATCTCGTCAATGGACGCCTGGGTGGACCATGCCGCAGAGGTCGCAGCGCTGCGAGTGGAATGTGCAGTAATACGCCTAGGAGCCGGTAGGGATGAGGACTGGTACGCCTCTGCAATACAGGCCCTGATCCACCTGCCAATAGTACCAGAGGAAACCTTCTGGCCCAAAGAGGCCGGACGGTAGGAAACAAATAGGGCCTCTGACCTACGAAAACGTTCTGTATGTTTAATAAAACGCCGCAACGCCCTACGGACGTCTAGCATGTGCCACTGCCGCTCCAAGTCGTGGGAAGGATCGGGGCAAAAATTGGGTAAGATAACTTCCTGTGTCCTGTGGAAAAGTGAATTAACTTTGGGAACAAATGTGGGGTCTAGGCGAAGGACCACTCTATCGCTGTGAAAAATACAAAGGTCACTTCTGACCGATAAAGCGGCCAACTCAGAGATGCGTCTGGCCGACGTGATCGCTATCAAGAACGCAACCTTGAGAGAGAGGTTCCGCAATGGAACAGTCCTAATTGGCTCGAAAGGAGGCTTTGTAAGAGCCCGAAGTACAAGCGGTAACTCCCAAGAAGGATATCTGTGTACCACAGGTGGTCTTGTGTTACAGGCGCCCTTAATAAAAGCTCGAATCCTGGGATGGTGTGCCAGGGGAACTGAATCTGCACAGGTAAGTAATGTGGACAAGGCAGCCACCTGTCTGCGTATGGTCGCAGGGGCGAGGCCTTTGTCCACACCATCTAAAAGATAGTCCACTATCTGAGGGATAGAAAGGTTGCGAATGTCCAGTTGACGACTCCGGCACCAAAGGCAAAAATTCTTCCAAGTAGAATCATAAATGTGATTGGTCGCCAGACGTTGGGAAGCTTGAATCATGGAAATGGCGCGAGCGGAAAATAGTTCTTGGGCCATTATGTTGCGCTCAAGTGCCAAACGGTCAGTTGTAACCATTGGGGTTCCGGATGTTGAAGGGACCCCTGATGCAACGACACCCGGTGAGGGGGAATCTTCCACGGAGGGCATCTGGAAAGTGTCATTAAATCGGCAAACCACGGTCTCTGAGGCCAATACGGTGCCACCAGGATCACCTCCGCCCGTTCCCGAAGAATCTTGCGTATGGTCGCCGGTATGAGGGGTAGCGGAGGGAAGGCGTAAAGCAGGCCCTGCGGCCATGGACTCCGCAGGGCGTCCGTACCCTCCGCCCCGGAAGGAGATAGCGGGAATAGTACCTGGGGAGTTGAGCGTTGCTTGATGATGC